GCATCCCGCACCTCTGGCTTCTATTACACAACATTTTGCCTCTAAGACTCTTCCATGCTCTTGACTGTAGTTATACTTCATTCAGACAACAAAAGGTGGCATAATTTTTTATCTTGTCTACTGTAGCTACAAAGAACTCTGATGGCATAGTGGTTAAACACCCGGGTGTTCTATCCTACCCTATAGGGTCACTATGAGTCAGCATTAACTCACTGACAATGGGTTATACGAGATTGTTGCTATACTCATGCATACATTTGCATCTTTCGCAGCATTTCCTAGTATGTCTAATGTTCCTGTGAGCCTCCTCATGCATGATTCCTGAAGTAATTGTGCACACATTTATTATGGATATGCACAATGGGTTTAGCTACCTATCTATTACTAAGATTGGAAGACCATAGATTATACATATCATCCACTTTTTAAAATGATGCCAAATTTTTCTAAAGTTATTATACCAATTAACACTTCCAACTAGCAGTCTATTATAGTTTTTGTTACTTTACATATTTAACAAGACATACTATTTTCAGTCAGTTTTATTTTAGCCCTTCTGGTTACTGTGAAGTAACCAGTCTATAGTGGCATCATTTTGTGGATTTTGCTTGCATTTTTTTGGATGGCACTAGATTGAGCAGCTTTTTATAATGTCTTTTGTCATGTCTGCTGAAGTCATTTACCTATCTTTCTGTTATTTTCTCCTTAATGATTTGTAGTTCTTCATAAAGCAAACTCCCGCTGCAGTTGAGTGGATTCAAACTTATAATGACCCTATATGACCAGCTAGAACTGTTCTGGTGGGTTTCCAAGACTGTAACTTTCGTTTGTTTGGTTTTTGTTACTCTTTACTGGATTAGAAAACCTTGTTTTTCTCCCATGGAGCAGCTGGTGTTTCAAACTGCTGACCTAGCGGTTAGCAGCCAAAAATGTAACTACTACCCCCACCTCCCCACCCCCGAACTCCTGAAACATTCATAGGTCCAAGATAGGCGAAGATGGCATTTGCTCACCTTTTGCAAGCATAGTCTCCCACTCGGTGGCTTAACCTTTCCATGACTTAAAGGTTGTCTTTTATTAAACAGAAACTCTTCTTTTTAATGCAACCCTATGTATCAATATTTTCCTCAATAATTACCATTTTGTATGACATCTTAGAAAAACATTTTTACTGACACTCAAATTACGAAGCTATTTTTCTAGAAACTTCCTGGTTTAGTCTTTCGTATTTATGTTGCAATACACTTGAAATCATCTTTAGAACTGTGATAAATCTGTAAGTTTGATTTTCTTCTAGATTTTACCCAGATGTCCGGGGTCATTTATTATACAGGTGGCACCATCTCGATTTCTCGGTGGTTCCACGTTTCTGAAAATCGAGTACCGTCCATGCGATAGCTCCTGTCTCCTGGTCTTCAACCCCGACATGCTATCTCTTCACCACTAGTGTGGATGTACCATCCTTCCCTGTAATTCTGAATGCTTTATGTATGTGTTTACATGCTAGATAGCTATAATTGTATATCCTATAGAGAAACACACGTATCTGAACATACAGATATGCCATGTGCACGTACAACACACTTTTTAAAGGCCATATTATTATGCACCTACACGTTCAGAATTGAGTTTTTTATCATTATATTTCTATTTACTTCTAATGCTTTTTGCCATAAAAATCTACCTTGAAAGAATAGCACGAATGGTTAACTGGTAACAGATTGATTGGTAATTTGAATCTACTCGGAGCCTGGGTACCTGCTTCAATGGCTATTAGGGCCACAGGAAACCTGGTAAAACACAGCTCTATTCTGGCACAGGGATTTGCCAGGAGTAGAAATGGACTTGGGAGTCAGTGGTTTACTTGGTTACAGCAACGTTTTGTTTAGAGCACAGGTAGTATCATTTTCTATCCTTTAGTCTTCAAGGATCTTGTAAGTCACACAGAAGTGGGGGTTTTGTTTGTGTGTTTTCTTTCAATGATTAAAAGAAATGGGAATGTTTATATTTTGAGCTTGTGGGCCATCCTGTAATTCATGCTATGTGTGGGATGAAATCGTGATTTCTCTTTGTTACACCTGTCCTATGTTTCTTAATCCTGTTGCCACTTTGGGTTTGGTTATTTTTATTTCA